AAAAAGTGTCAAAAAACGAGAATCGAGTCGTTTCTATCGCTATTGAAAACACACTGTAACGTGGAACCATGTGTCCCAGGACGTAATTGAAGTTAGGCATAAAGATAAATCGCGAACGCAACAATTCACGAAACATCGTCGAGTATAATTTGTAACGCTCTCTAAATAGTCATAAGATTTGTTCATTGACATAATGTGGACCCCGTGGAAATTTTTATATACTTTCAAATCGACGAAGAAGAAGAAAGTGTTGCTTCTCATTTATTTTTCTCCAAGTTTTTTTCCTTTTTTTTTTTTTTTTTGGCACGGTACTTGAAAGCTTTCGATAACGTTAAGCTAAGATATCTCGATATTTCTGGGCTACGAAAACCACGAACCGAAAGATTCAGATGCAATTTGGAAGAAGTCGGAAAGATATATCAAATTGTCATGCACCCTGGACAATTGAACGATGTCTACATACATGCATGCATACCATTCGAACAATTTTTTGATAAAACTTTGTCTGCATTGTTCGTTGTATTTTTTTAAACGATCGATTGTTTCTTTTTTTTTTTTTTTCAAAGTGGACAAAGTGAAAAATAGAAAAAAATTCTTTTATAATCCATAGACAAAATATAACTTTCTATCAGCTTTCTCAATAATTTCAAATCGTAGTTCGAGCTAAGCTTATGTTGTCAAATAACTTTTCGTCCCCGAAGAATACGACATTTTCTTATCAACGAATGTTTTTTTTTTATCGATTTCTTAATAACTGCTTGGCGATAAAATGAAGCTATGTCAGCTCGGACGCGGGTATATACATTAATACGAAAGCCAGTCGAATAATCGAGAGAGCACACTTACACGAGATTATGTATATGTATAGTTTAATAATATAAATCAAGAGCATTTTACAAACGTACATGTAAGTAGAGCTAAATGATATAGAACAACGTTCGCAGAAATACCGCAAGAGACTGATATCTTTAAGTGAATGTCTTTACTGTTGTCGACGATGAGAAAATAAAATAAACGTAATTATTAAATAACTTGAGAATT